AAAAATTCTCATTTTTGTCACTAACCCTGATTTCAGGATGTTACAGTAGACATACCATTTCGTCCCACTTTATGTGATATTATTATGTTCATAACATATTTATATTGCATAATATGTGATTTATATCATATTGTATATACACATTATATGTTACATATTTATGATATATATCTACATTGTATAGTTATATATATTATATTTATGTTTCTATTATATATTATGGAGCATATATTTATATTTATTATATGTTTTTTATATCAGGTCCAATATTACAAGTAATGTTAGGCCTAAAGCCAAAGCCATTAGAAATGGTGATCCAATACCAACAGACCCAGCAACCCAGAACCCTTGTAGACCCGGATCTTGGAGCAACCCGAACCGACCCAAGATGTAACCCAAAGTAGTTAGGGTTTTCAAACCCTAACTTTTTCCTTTGTTTCATCAACTTTGCATCTCCCTCAGCAAGCTGTCGGGTAGAGGGAGGACTCTTGGAAAGAGTCCTCATTTTAGCGACTACATGCCATATCTCTGAGTTTTTCGATGCACAACAGAGTCCAACCAAAACAAAAAACCACCAATGATGTATTTTAATTCAAATAGGAGACAAAAAATCGAACTAAAAATAGCAATCCTAGAGACTATAAATACATGTAACTAGTACTAAGAAGGCAACCAAAACACAACAAGAAGTAAAGCATCACCAATCAACAACCATAAAAATAAAAACCGAGAAATCGAAGTCGAAGGCCTGGTATCGTGAAAGCTCGTCGGAAAACAAAGAGTCACTATCGAACCAAGGTAATAAAACCGAACGGTTTTCTTTAGATATACGTCGTTTGAGGTTTGAGTTAGGAAATCGAGGGTCGGGGTTAACTTTAGGGCGTTGAGGAGAATATTTGGGGGAGTTTTATTTTTTCGGCCGTCGGAGGCGGCGGTCGGCCCGGTGGGGAGGTCATCGGAAGGTGGCCAGATTTCGGCCTATTAGGGGAGTTGAGAGAATTCGGTGAGGCTGAGGGAGAAGATATTTGAGGGAAAGGTGTAAAATGAAATGGAAATGAGGGTTTTGGGTATTTATATACCGAGGACCATGGTGTAATTAGAGGATTTTTAAATTCTTTCTCCAGTCCCTGTCATTTTGATGTGTAATTCGTTTTGGTCATATGTTTCAATTTTGTCTCTGAATTTTTAATTTATTCAATTTAATCTCTGTTTACATTTCTTATATTTTGCAAACTGGTCCCCTAACTTTTTATTTTTCTCTTGCATCTCATTTTTAGTACCAATTTAATCCATCAATTTCAATTTATTTCAATTTGATCTTTTAAATTTTTAGTTATTCATTTTTTCCTTTTTAATTTTAGTATGTTTTTTTATTATTTGTTTTATTTTATTTTTTTATTATTTGTTTTATTTTATTACTTTTAAAATTTAACATTTTTTTATTTTTATTATTTTTTATCTAATATTTTTAACTTTTTAGAGATACTTTCAATCGATCAAAGGTAACCAGTGGAGATCCATTGAGGGATGAGGGTGGCCCGGTGCCCACTTCAAAATTCGAATTTTCTTTGATTAATCGTTTATTTTATTGATGATGTCAACCCTAAATTTTTATTATGTTCACCCTAAAATCTAAATTTTCTTCAACAAGTCACTTATTTTATTGATGTTGTCTATCTTAAAATTTTATTTATTCTTACCCATTCAAAAAAAAATATTATAAACATATATATGTTCACCTTAAAAAATATTTATGGATCATGTCACTATTTATAAGACCTTATGTCACCACCAATACTTAAACATGACTCAAACGGAGGAAATCATACTCATACTCGTATACAAATGAGTACTTATATAAATAATTAGAATGAGTGATTAAATAGGCTGATTAATCAATTTAGTTTTGGTGTGTTTAAATGGGTTGGACCGGACATAATGAGTACTTACATTAATAATTAGAATTAAATTTTAACTTTCATATAAAATAAATTTATCTAATTATATTTAAAATTCAAAATTTTTTAATTTAAATCAATAATAAAATAAGGCTTTATTTTAAAAATCACAATAAATAATTTTTAAAATAAAAGCTATGAATTAAACGTGTTTATTTGAACATTAATTATCAAATTTAAAAAAGATGATTAAAACTTATTTGGTAAAAAAATTCAAACTTGGACTTTTAGGTGCAATTAAATGAGGTTTTAGAGTAAGTGGACTGCGTTTACAGAAATAAAAGTAGAAAGAGTAATTTGTAAATATATGATTATGTTTTGTAGTGTTTAAAAGGAAAGTGAAAAAGGGGGAAGGTGAAAGTAGGAAGAATCGAACGGTGGACAAGGCTTGAGCATCATTTATCATTCATGGAGGGGCTTAGCGTTAAAACAAAGGCGGGAGCATTATTTTTTGGGACACCGACAGCTTCGGCTTAGCCTTAAGTTGAAGCCAGCTTTTGCAAAACCTCGGCTTCTGTCGGGACGGGAGCCTGCTCATTCACATGCATCCTGTTTTCTCCCCACCCCTTCTATTATTTGTTTTCATAAACGAATGCTTCCAACTGAAATACCCACCCCACCACCACATGCACTTACATTTACTTCTGTAAAATTATATATAAATAATTTTTATATCTATATATATTTAATAGTTTTTAAAATATTTTTTATGACTTTTCAAGCGTTAAATATGTTCTTTTTTATTTTTTTATTAACGGTTTGTCAAGTAAAGTATAATAATAATAATAATAAATATCTAAGAATAATACAATAGTATAAAATTATAAATATTACTTTTAAACTACTAAAACATATGTTTTCTAAAGATGAGAAATATCTTATAAAATTAAAAATAAAATTAATAACATTAACTCCTAACTCATTATTATCAAACATAACCTCACCATAAAACTTTAGGACATTATATCATACGAAGATAACAAAAAAATAATCGCAATGGTTTTAAAATTTTATGTAAAAAATTATAAAAAAATACACACCGATAAAGTTTTATTAATATTCAAAATAAAAATATAAAATAATTTCAATTATTCACGTAAACGACTTGCTCAAATTAACTTTTAACTTCAGTCTCTAATGCTTATTGATAGAGATAATTGCTCGAAAAATGAAACTCATGTAACAAAAAATATTCTTGAATTATGTGTCTTAATAATCTTAATCAACATCTAAATCAAATATAAATCTAATCGGTGAAACTTTAATAAAATCATAAATGTAATATTAATAAAACTATATTAATTATTAAAATATTATTTAATTATTCATAACATCAATTAGTATTAAATTATTATAAAATAAAAATATTAATAATTTACTTTTTTAATAATTAATTGTTCAATTAAAATTATAACGAAAGATTCAAAAAATCTAATTATAGAGAAAATATGATTAAAAAATAAAAACTATGCAACATAAAAAAACAATATTTCCACTATTTAAAATAAAATATTAATAAATGATTATTACTTTTCAAAAAGTTCTTACAAATCAAACAAGAACATTTTTCTGAAAAATGTAAGGGTTGGTTTGGTTCTAAATTTTTTTGTTTCAATTTTATTTTAAGAAAACATGTTTGGTTAATATAAATGAAAAAATTAATAAAATAATAAAAATATACTTGATATTTAATTTTTTAAAATATAAATAAACAATAATTATTAAATAATTAAATTAAAAAATTCATTACATAAATTTAATATGTGAATTATACAACTATAAAATAATAAAGTTAATAAGAAATCACATAATACAAAAACCATTTTAGTTTATAATAAAAAATATAATGCTAATACATATAATTAAATTTTAAAAATATACAAAAATATTGTTATAAGCAAGAGTACACAAAATATCATTGAAATAAAAATACATTTAATGATAATTGAGTCCCCAAACTCTAGGAAAAATAATTAATATAGTCTGTGAATTGTTTCACGCCAAATATGATCCTTACATTCAAAGAAAAAAAAATAACCTAATCTTTTGAAGAACATAATCAAATGTTAATTATTACGACGTTTATATGATAGTTCACAAACTTACATGATAATCTATAATGTTAATGTGACACCTTATAATATTGTTATGATAGTACACGATGGATGATGATATAATAAATAAAATTAATTGATTTTTTTACTAAATTCGATGGTGTATTTATTTTTATAAAAATTGAGAATTTATTTAACTTTTTTTTAAAAAATAAAAAAAATATTTAAAATTAAAATATAAATATAAATAATTAAAAAATAATATATTAAATATAAACTTAAAATTATTAAAATAAAATAATTTAAGGATTGCATTGATTATAAAAAAAATCAGGGACCATATTAATTTTTTACAAAAGTTTAATGATTTCAAATATTATTAAGTCAAAAGTTATTGTTAAAATGATTTGAATTTTTTTTTTGCTATTAAAAGTTTAGGTTAGGAGTATTTTCTAGTCTAGGGTCAGAATATACTTAAGATTCAATTGGGATTTACATAAGAATTTATAGATTGTTTATCAAGAATGATTGTAATAGGATTCAAACTTGACCTTACAATCTCAAATTCATGAGTCTCAACCACATTTACCAATACTTGCAAATGATTTGGATTTTTTTAGAAATTATTTTTTCAGTTTTACAACTAAGCACATATTTTCAATTTTTTTAAAATAATAAAAATAATAAAAAAACTATATTTTCTTAATTACCTCAATAATATTTTTGTGTGTGAACCTAACCCACTCATGCTACTTTGTGGAGTCTTAACAAGTGTCAAGTAACAGTTAAGTGTTGGGTCAAGTGTTGAAGTGTGATCTAAGAAGCCGAGCCAAGCAAATCGAAGTCATGACCAAGTGACAGAACAGGTCGCCTTCTTCCCCGTGTGGTCCCCCCCCCATCCAGTCTGTCTCTTTAACTCCACCTTCTCTCTCAAATCTCAATCACTAACCTAAAAGCTCTCTCCTTTGGCTTGGCGTCTTCTTCTTCTTCATATCCATTGTTAGCGTTGACACTCCACATTTCTTTTCTGCTGCGCCTGTCTCCAAAATATTAATCCGTCTCCAAAATATTAATCCGTCACCAAACTCCTCTTGCATCTCAATACCCATTACAATCTTCAAATATCCCATCTTGTGGTTTTTGTGTTTCTGAGTTTACTTTAGCACCATGGGTTCTTCCATCTGTGGTGTCTCTCCCTCCCAGATTTTCCTTTTCCTTCTCTTCTCCTACGTTTCAGTCGCCACAGCTGCATTGCGTCAAAACCCATCTGGGAAGTCTTTTGGTTTATCGGCTTCTGGTCAGATTAACTCCAACTCAGTCCTCGTTGCACTTCTCGACTCGCATTACACTGAGTTGGCTGAGCTCGTTGAGAAAGCTTTACTTCTCCAGACACTTGAAGAAGCCGTTGGCAAGCACAATATTACCATTTTTGCTCCTCGTAATGAAGCCTTGGAGCGTCAACTCGACCCCGAGTTCAAGCGCTTCTTGCTCCAACCTGGAAACCTCAAGTCCCTGCAAAACCTTCTCATGTTTCACATTATCCCCAAACGGGTCGGATCCCAACAATGGCCCGATCCCAAAACCGGACCTGTCAAACACAGCACCCTTTGCAACGACCATGTACACTTATCATCCAAATCCACCGGCGGAAAAACTGTTGACTCAGCCGAGTTGATCCGACCCGACGACGTGATCCGACCCGACGGAGTCATCCACGGGATCCACCAGCTTCTCGTTCCCCGTTCCGTCATAGAAGATTTCAACAAGAGACGTAATCTCCAGTCAATCACCGCTGTATTACCCGAGGGTGCGCCGGAAGTAGATCCTCGCACCCACAGGCTGAAGAAACCAGCCCCGGTGCCAGTTGGAGCATCGCCAGTACTTCCAATCTACGACGCGATGGCTCCAGGTCCTTCTCTGGCACCGGCACCAGCTCCTGGACCCGGCGGAGCTCGTCATCATATTGACGGCGAGAGCCAGGTCAAGGATTTCATCCAAACTTTATTGCATTACGGCGGGTACAACGAAATGGCTGATATTCTAGTAAACTTGACGTCTTTAGCGACGGAGATGGGGAGATTAGTTTCAGAAGGATATGTTATAACAGTATTGGCTCCCAACGACGAAGCCATGTCAAAGCTTACTACGGACCAGTTAAGCGAGCCTGGGGCGCCAGAGCAAATCATATATTATCATATCATCCCCGAGTATCAGACGGAGGAGAGTATGTACAATGCAGTTAGGAGGTTCGGGAAAGTGAAATATGACACGCTGCGGCTGCCGCATAAGGTAGTGGCTCAGGAGGCTGATGGTTCGGTGAAATTCGGGCATGGCGAGGGATCTGCTTATTTGTTCGACCCTGATATTTATACGGATGGGAGGATTTCGGTTCAGGGGATCGATGGGGTTTTGTTCCCGGAAGAAGAAACCGAAATTGTTAAGAAACCAGCAGCTGTTAAGGTTGCCGCCAAGCCCAGGAGAGGTATTGTTCTTTCTTGCTGTTTTAATTAATTCTGCAACTGTTCTCTGGTTATTCGGTTAGGTTATCCAGTTAATTAATTGTTGTTGAAATATAAATTCATAAACTAAATGCAACTTTAAGAATTTAGTTGGCTTGTTTTTAGATAGATATAATATTGCATCCCTATCTGTCCTTCAGCCGCTCCGTCGTGCATACCCTTATGTATTTAGCTTAGAATCAGTTGATAAGGTTCATAAGAGAATGAAAAAGAATTAAAGGTTGAGGTTGAGGAGTGATTATTGAGTTCGAAGTTGGATGTTGATGCTTTAGGTGGTGGGACATATAGGAGCATGGAATTCGAGTTTATAAATTGTGGCTTCAATTTGGTGATGGGGGTTTAACTTCTAAGCAAATGTGAGTGTATGGAAAGGGAAGATGGAAGCTGTGCTATGCTATCTTTGCTTAGCATTACAGAAATGAACCAATAACACCCTGCCATATTAAGGAATCATTAGATGATTTGATTATTGTGCAAATCAGGGGAGGGTGAGACGAGGTTGATATGGGACAACGATATCGTTGTTTGTCTGGAAAACGCACTCAATCCGACAATAGAGAGAGAGGAAGGCTAAATGTGTTAACAAGTCATTTGGTACAAGCATGGTAGTGTTTAGATAGAACTGTAGAAGAACTATGTTTAACTAGTAGGTCGTTCATTGCTTAACGAAACCATGTAATGAAAAACCCAAGGCTGCCCCAACAAAACCTTTACATATGATTAATTCTCTCTATAAATAAAGCTTTCCGAATTAGCTTGCAAGATTTGTTGTGTAATTGTTCTATACTTGATTATTGGCTGACCTTAATTTTATATGGGGGTTTGGTGGTTGGTATGAGTTTACTACTGAATTGTTTAATTTATGCCACTTAATTGTTTGATTCAACGAAGACACAAATTGTTCATGTTATGTAGACACTTGATTGTTTGTTTGACTTACATTTTATGTTCCGATTTGATTATGCAGGGAAGTTATTGGAAATCGGATGCTGGATGCTTGGCACTCTACGGTTTCGATCGTGTCAATAAATATGTATGAAATTGTAGTGTTGAGTTGGAACAAAAAAGATGGTAGGAAAGGAAAGCAAGCGAAACAGAGGTGAACAACACTTCCTCCGGCTAAAAGACGCGTTGTCATTTGCAGTTGTAAGGATAGGTTTTTTGGAAGGGCCTGGTGAATGCTTGTTGGATGAACCCAAAAAAAAAATCCCTAGAAAATAGAAAGTTTGGTGTTATTTTGTTATAAATACTGTAATTACATACCATTTTTTAATTGTTTTTGTGTATGAATCACGGTCACTTTTCTTTCGTAATAAAAGTTCTCTGGTTCATTGTTGGCCTGTTTGTGCATTTACTGCTTGTCATTTTTTTTTATAATTGCTAGTATTAACTTATTAATTGATTAATCTGGTTAATTCGAATGGGATATCGCATAGGTTCCAAAGACGATTCTCTCAATTACACTAGAATTCAAACTTCTAACCTTTCTTGGGAATCTAGAATTTCTTCTCTTTATATCACCTTGTTCATTTGGTCGTTGATTATCTATCATTCTTTAATCATTTTGCTGTGCCTTGTATCAGTTGTATGGTTACTAATAATAGTGAAAACATTAAAATTGTATTAATCTCTCTTACCTTTATCACTTTTTGAGACTTTTTGGCAATTTGCAATGTGCAATAGGGTTGTTAGATTTGTAGCTTATTTTCCCAAGCATGGTGGAGACGATTTAATGTGGAAAATTTGGGTATAAATCAAGGCACTGCCTGGAGCTTGGATCCTCCAGGTTGGCTGCCACATCAAAATGAGTTGACTTTCCCTACTAATTAAATGAAACATGTGAAAAACATAGTAGGATATCTCAATCTCACATGATGGACCCACCACAATAATATGGTAATACCAAATTTGTCAAAAAATGATTTGATTTCTTGAATACTAAGTAAAGTAAGTTTACTTAGTATTCAAGTATGTCATAACTCCTTTTTATTCAGTCCATATTTATACAATCATCACATTCGTACATTTTGTAGATTTGCTTTTCAAGGCAGTACCTTGAGCAAAAAGGGGTTGCACCTAATAATTCATCATAAGTGGGGTACTTACCCTTAAACAAAGCTAGGGAAAAAAGATGAATTATTAATTTTTATTATAGATGAAGGTTAAAAAGAAATGAGCCTTAGTTGAGCTTCTTAGGGAATTGCAGAAATGGGGAATTCGTTAATATACATTATAATAATGAAGTTGTATCATGAGAAATAGTAGGGTAATAAATGGCCACAAAGTTAGGATCATAACAACGTCAACTTATTCAATAAGTCTAACCTCTTCCATTATTAATGCAGTGAAGATCTGATTTTATATATAACCTCAAATCTGTCTACAATTTTTTAACATTATCTTGCTCAAATATTTGCTGTTGCAAGACTAAAAATGACAATGTTGCTCATTAGCTTATTTAGACAAATTTAATTATATTATAAAAGATATGTTTATATTATATTATATTATATTATACTATAATATAAATTATAGTTTAGTTTAATAATGATTAAAACAATTTTACGATTAAATTTTTTTTAATTGAAAATTATTAATAAAAATAAATATAATTATAAGTAATTAATAAATAATAAATTTATCTTTTTTTTTTAAAATTCAGAAAAGTAATAAACCTTGGGTTTATCAAATCTCATGAGAGGATTTTCTATCAAAATTCAAGGGGTTTGAATATTTTCCCCTAAATTTTATAATTTAAAAAATACAGTGTGTCAATATTATTACAATTTAAAAGTAAAATATTAAAGAAATCAATAATGAAAATTTTGTATTAAAAATATAAAATAAAAGGCGAAATACCAATATTTAATTGCTAACAAATGATGCAGAATCAAAATGGTGATACATGCTAATTATATGGACCCTAATAATTTAAAGAAGGAATAAAAGTCCATCCACTAAAATAAGATAGAAGATGGGACACAATTGAAAGAAAATTACAGTCAACAAATTAGGATATTGTCTGCAACTTACAAATATTTCACTTAATTATTGGATTAATGGCGCATGCTTAATTTGCTTTATTTATTAGGGTAATTAAATTAATGGAAATGGAATATGCTCTAACCTTAGATAACCAAGTTAATTTGACAAGAGAATTGGATTTTTTTGGTTATTTTTTTATTCTTATATATAAAAACAAAATGACAGACAAAGTTTAGTTTGTGTGTGTGTGTTTTTATAGTTTCTTAATTCCAAACTGATTCCATGTCATTTGGCATGTGAAGAGAAATGGTATTCTAAGTTTACACTGTTGATTGGTTTTAGAAGTTCCTAATTTAGTCATAAGATTCTAAATTCCAACCATGAAAAATAATCAATTTGATGTTGTTTCTTTAAATCCTCAAATTCACATGGGATGATTATTATTATATGACACATAATGATTATAAAATATAAATAATAATTAAGAAAAAGTTTGAAAATAAAAGCAAGGGTAAAGCTACTTAGGGTCCGTTTGTTTCACTGAAAACAGTTTTCGGAAAATGAAATATGGAAAATGAATTATATTTCTGGAAAACATTTTCCAGAAAACATTTTCCAGTATTTGGATTATAACACCCATCTCCCGTATACCTTTACGTATACGAGCTACATATGTCATCACTTTTAAACAATTTCTCATTTGAAAGTCCGTACAATTTTGTTCATTTTATAAAATCATAAGAATTTATTTATAATTAAAACATGCATTAACTTACATATACACGTAAAAAGAGATGTTCCACATTTTTACCGTTTTATAGTATTTCAATTCAAAAGGTTTTACAGAGCGTTTTTACTAAACTTATTACATGCCAACTAAAATATATCAAAAGTAGACAGGTATGTCATATTGTTACTAATTAGGCGACTCTGACTTGATGTCTGGTGATCTCCTTACTCAGCTGGTATTCAACCTACACGTGAAATGAACACACGTTAAGTATTACTTAGTGAGGCATACATAATCATAAGCAGCTTATAAACATAGTATAAGGTAACAATTCTAATATCGAGCAACTCTTTACAATTTATTGTAAACCTTATAACTATGGACCATTGGTGCTATTACAATCATTTTCCCATTCTTTATTCATGTTCATTTATTAGAATACGCAATTACTGCCTATACGGAAATTGATCAACTCATGATGAATTCTGTGGGTTGCACTCGTAGTGCATGTATAATGATTCATCAACTCGTGATGAATTTCTTGGATATGCACATAAAGTGCCTGTACGGTGATTCATCAACTCATGATGAATTCTATGGATATGCACACAAAGTGCCTGTACGGTGATTCATCAACTCATGATGAATTTTGTGGATATGCACACGAAGTGCCTGTACGGTGATTCATCAACTCATGATGAATTCTGTGGATATGCACACGAAGTGTTTGTACGGTGATTCATCAACTCATGATGAATTCCGTGGATATGCACATGAAGTGCATGTACGATGATTCATCAACTCATGATGAATTCCGTGGATATGCACACGAAGTGCATGTACGGTGATTCATCAACTCATGATGAATTCCGTGGATATGCACACGAAGTGCCTGTAGTACACATAGTAGTGATATATTGATGCAATATATATATATATATATATTTAACAACATATCTTTATAACTCGTATTGTACGAAATAAATGCACTCACCTGGCTATCCTTGCTATGTATCCAAAAGGTAAGGCTGATTCCTCTGGTACTTTTCCTTTTCCCTTAGTTTTGCTTGTTTCGGGAGCTTGGTTCCAATCTACTCAAGCATCCATAAAATCATATACCTTACCCAATGTTAGAATATTTCCTAACCATTATACTTAAACAATACTCAAAAGAACATATCATTAACTTTCTATACCAATCTCAGTTTATTTTAACATTTCTGGCTCTATAGTATCGATACTACTACCCTAGTACCGATACTTCTATACTATGATACTGATACCCCCTTCGGGTATCGATACCAAAAATAGGTTCGATGTTTCCTAGTATCGATAACCTTACCATGGTATCGATACTACCCTATTAGGATATCGATACCCCTTACCGGTATCGATATCAAAATTAGATTCGATGTTTCTTAGTATCGATACCCCTTATCATGGTATCAATATTACCTTATCGGTATCGTTACTAATTAAATCAGTATCGGTACTACTCATCTAATTTATCAAATTTTAGCCTATAATATCGGTACTGTTCTTAGCAGTACCGATACCTTGCCCAGAATTTCCAGTTTTCAACTCGATTTGCATCCCAATGTGGTTAATTATCGTTATAATTACCCCATACAATACTGTTAAACTCTTCCTTAACTATCCATACGAACATTCCTTCATTTAGCCTCTTAGAACATCTAAAATCATTCAAGAACGTTCAATTCTAAGAATCAAACCACTTTTTCTAATATGTTCTTTATCCCATCTAATACTTCTAATCTCTCATTTACCTCTTTTGCAAGTCAAATCTACCAGTAAACCTCAATAAACACCAATATACTAACATATCATTTCAAAACCCATTTTCTAAAATCTCTACTATTTTCTCCATTTCATGATTTCAATCTCAAATAATCCTTCTTTAAGCTTTCATATCACTTAAGGTTGTAAAAATAACCCACAATCAAAAGGAAAAACCAAATAATTGAAACTTACCTTTGGAGCTATGGAGAAGACTTCAACCACGTGAAAGAAGAAGAAAAGGAAATTGTAATACCACAAATTTTGACCAGTGACTAAAATGTAAGTTTTAAAAGTTTAGTGGATAAAATATCAACTTTGTAGGGACTGAAATTATAATTTTTAAAAGTTATATATTTTAGCTTATAAATGAACAGTTTGGATTAAAATAGATATTTTAGTGAGAATCAGATTTTTGGTATGAGATTTGTGTTAAAAGCTATAAAGCGGTAAATTTCGGTATTAAAATCGAATAATCGGATCGAATCAAAATTTCACGAAATTGTGAAGGATGTTAAAAAATGGTTGAAATATTATTTTCATATTTCAAATCAGAGAAAATTTTCTTAGAATAGTGCAATTTTTCAGATTTGACCGAACAGTGGAATTTTAGTGATTAAAATGCAATTTTTTAAAAATTGCATGGCCAAATTCGAAAGTCAAAGCCAATTTGATTCATCTTTGACCAAGAAATATTTTATTGGAAGATAATACAATGACATTTGGTAATTTTCAATATTTATTAAGGGTATTTTTGAGATAT